ATATATATATATTTTTGTTTCCCTCAATACATTTCTGGTTTGCTGTAGTTTCTCATTACTGAGATCAATAGAACAGAACCAGCTCCTATGTGGTGCTCATATGTTACAAACTCACAATATAGTATTGGTTTCTATTGCTATAGCGCTCCATTTCCTGCAGAGGGCGCACTTGATACAGCTGATTGTGAATCGTAGGCTATTGGGCTCCATTAACCAAAATCAGTATTAGGAAAATATGAATGCATTAATATTGTTTATGGAAATTGAAGTATAATGAAAATTATGCACAGGCATTTTATTTTAAATTTTTTAGATAGAGTTAGTTTATTTATTACAACCCTTTATTTGTCCTGGTGACCATTATTCCTGAGGAGCAAAAAGGTTGATTCATATACCATTCACAGGCCTGTTCACCCTGCAAGTATCTGTGAATGCCCGTTTTGTGCGCATATTAGTACAAAGAATGTTCTTTAAAAGAGAACTATGAGGTAACCTTTTTATCCCATGGTTCTCTTTGGGTCACAGGAAGACATATACTAACGTCCTCCAATGACCCAAAGCTCAGTATATAGCTCACTATTGTCCGCTATATCCTGAGAGCGCCGCAGCCGGGAAGGATCCCGACAATACTGTCTGGGTCCACCCAGCTGGCTGATTGACAGCGGGCTCTGCCTATTTAGAAGCAGAGCCAGCTGTGCCCACCCCCAACCCCCTCTCCTCCACTCAGCGCTGGAGGATCGGAGAGGGGGGAATCCCTGCAGGGAGCCGTGACTGACGGTCACCACTCGCTGCAGGGAGATGATCAGAAAGTGAGCGAGCGACGGTATGTTTTCGCTCACTTCCCGATCTATAGAGCTGACGTGTGACAATTCCATTGTCACACGTTGGCACTGACTATGAGGATGAGTGGAAATCACTCACCTCATAGTTCTCCTTTCATTTTTTTCTTTAGAAGTGTAATTAAATTTGAATGTTCCCATTGTAATATCGCATTATGGCCACTAGATGGTGCCAAAAGAACATATAAAATAAGCATATAAGAGAGGCAGAGCCAGCTATCAATCAGGTAGCAGGGTGGAACCCGACAATATTGTCTGGATCCTTTCTGGGTGCAGTGTGGCTCTGCGCTGTCAGCATATACAGTAGTTTGCAATAACCCGCTATACGCTGACTTTGGGTCACAGGAGGACATTAGTAAATGTAAAAAAAAAAAAGGTTTGGCATTAGTTCTCTTTTAATTGGGTTTTTACCCTTCCTTATTTTATTGACATTGGCTAGACGTGCACTTTAATGTTTGTAGTAAAATTAGTCGCATATAAAAAACACAAAACAAAATGTTTAAGTCCCCCACCCTGCCGTATACACGCACATATTACATATCACCATGAAAGTTCTATCTGTCCCCAAAAATGATATAAAATTCATTTCAGTACAGCGTTGTATGACGGAATTAATGTCAGTCGAAGTACCGCAGCCCCGAAAACTGAAAAATGTCCTGGGCAGTAAGTGGGTTTAACACCGCGGTCATCAAGGGCTTAAAGAATCTTGCTTGCTTCACCTTTGGTGTGATTTACACCACCGCTTCCAAAGCAATAGATTAAAATGCATTGCACTGCGTGAAATTCACTCTTATTATTATTATTGGTGTGACTGTTTTTTTTTTTTTTTCTTTTTAATACAAAAAGTGTTTTGAATGGCACCAAACAATATCCTGGATGTTTGTCTTTCAGGCCATCACCTTCTGCCCTCCAGCACAATCCAAACATGACTGGATCGGCCCTCCGGATCGATACTCCAATCTGCGTCCTATCAAATACTTTATTCCTAAAAATGAGTCCCATCTGGAAAGGAAACTCCGAGAACTGAGACAGGAAACACAAGAGTGGAATCAAAGATTTTGGGAAAATCAGAATCTCTCATTTATTACGGTGAGTAGAATACTTAAAGGGTTATTAAACCCTCCGGTGTTTTTGCATATATTTAGTGCTAACAAGCAGTAGATATATGCAAAAAGTGTAAAGAAAAAAAAAACCCGCTTTGAAAAGGGTTAATACTCACCTGTGTCTTCCCCGCGCGCTCCCGTCCGGAAAATGTGAAAATTCTCGGCCAGAAAGCATCTTGGGGCGGGCGCATGCGCAGTCCACATTTTCGGCCGGGATGCGAGGAGAGACACAAGGTAAGTCTATGGACGGCGTGCACCCGCACAGACACCATGGGACAGGAAGTGCCAGCAAGCTCAGAGGAGTCAGCGCTGGATCGGAGACCCGCCGCAGCGCTGGAGGGACAGATGAAAAGGACAGGAAAGAAGAAGAAGAAGATCGGATTAAGAAACATGATTTAAGGTAAGTGCTTTCATTAACATTGGGGGGGAAAGATTTTCGACTTTAATGTCACTTTAAAGCTGAACTCCGGAATAATATTACAAATACCAATTAAAGGAGAACTATGAGGTGAGTGCTTTTCACTCGCCTCATAGTTCTAGCCGACCTGCAACAATGAGACTGTCACAGGTCGGCTCAGTAGATCGGGAGGTGAGCGAACACATACAGGCGTTCGCTCACCTCTCGATCCTGTCACGGCTCTCTGCCGTGACAGGGGAGGGACTGGATTCCCCGCTCCGATCCGCCAGCGCTGACTGGTGGAACGGACGGGGAGGGGGCGGGTACAGCTGGCTCTGCCTCTAGATAGGCAGAGCCAGCTGTCACTCACGCAGCTGGGCGGATCCAGATATTGATGTCGGGATCCGCTCCGGCGTCTCAGTATACCGCGAGCTGTATACTGAGCCTAGGGTGACGGGAGGACGCTAGTTTGTGTCCTCCCGTTACACTAAGGAGAACTATGGGGAAAAGCCCCATAAAACAATCATAAAATACACTCAAATAACTGTATTTGGCTTGGTATTAGCATCTTGTTATCACCTGTACAGCAGCACTGTACTGCAGCACTAGGGGCCAATCAGAGGTGCTGCATACACATGTGCTGACAAGGACTGACAGGAGGAGAGAGCAGAGGGATGAGGTTATCATTGTGCTGCTTCTCCTTTACAGCCCTGTAAAAGGTTTCAAGGCTGGTAGATGACCTGACTGTACAGCATGACTGCAGAAGAGAGGAGTCGGGTCACCAACCAGCGGGCTTCTTGTCAGGCACCGAAACTTGGCACTCATCGGGGGGAAAACCTGTAATTATGCGAATGCTTCACTTGATTCAGCATGATGAAGCTCGGTGTGCTCTTTTAAATAAAATGTACCAAACAGACCCAATCCATAAGCCACAGAATACTCCACTCCTGGGCTTCTCTTTTCCTTTCTGCTTTAAATACAGTTACATAAACTGTTTTGCATTTATTCAAGCAGAGAATTTTAAACCAAACTGACTTTATTGACAGCAATCTAGGTGTAGAGTGTACATTATGAGATGGGGCTTGTTGGAGGGTCCACCCAGGGCCATCAGCACGACAAAGAGAACTATGAGGTAACCTTTTTATCCCATGGTTCTCTTTAGGGTCTCAGGAAGACATATACTAACGTCCTCCAGTGACCCAAAGCTCAGTATATTGCTCACCATTGACCGCTATATCCTGAGAGCGCCGCAGCCGTGAAGGATCCCGACAATACTGCCTGGATCCACCCAGTTGGCTGATTGACAGCGGGCTCTGCCTATTTAGAGGCAGAGCCAGCTGTGCCCACCCCCACCCCCCTCTCCTCCACTCAGCGCTGGAGGATCGGAGAGGGGGGAATCCCTGCAGGGAGCCGTGACTGACAGTCACCACTCGCTGCAGGGAGATGATCAGAAAGTGAGCGAGCGACAGTATGTCTTTGCTCACTTCCTGATCTATAAGTGTACATTATGAGATGGGGCTTGTTGGAGGGACCAGGGCCTTCAGCACGCCATCTGTTGGGGGACTACAAGTCCCAAGAGGCATTGCGATGCTCTGACATCCACAGGAATGACTCCCAGAGGCATGATCGTCTTTATCCTCCTGCTGAAAAACCAATAAGCCCAACAAGGAAGTGAGCCTTTCTCTTGGCTGTAGTAGGTCGGAGGACCTGGAAACTAAGATTGAAGAATGTCATTAATAGAGCCGTCAAGATATATAAAAGCCACTGAGTGAGGGTCTGTCACAGGGCTTTTGTTTGCTTCAAGCTGGGTTTGCATTCCTATACAAGTCTATAGAAATTCAAAATGTGCATGTGGCAGGTGAAATACACATATCAATAAATTCTGAATGATCTCAGAAATGTCTAAAACCGATGCCATCAAAACAAGGCCAAAGCCCATTGACACAGACTCTTAATGCAGTCTACCATTAGCTACTTGGACTGTAATAGCTGTTATACAAAGTGGATTATCCCTTACACTTGGTAAACTCCACTCAACTCTACATATTTAATCTAGATTGGAGTTTGGCTTGCTAGGTTAAAATCCCAAAGTGAAAACCTCCGCTGAGTAATGAAGCTATTTGCTGGAAATAGTGCGAGGGGCGGGATCGTATTATATTTTGCTCTACTGTCCTACAGTTTTTTGGGGGGCTGGCCCTGTATTGGTCCTACATTAATTTGTATAATCTGCTCACATTTATTTTCTTTGTTTTGTGTTTTAGGAAAAGGAAGAATTTATCGCTTCAAAACTTAACGCTTTAGGGCTGGGCCGGAAAGATGAAGAAGGTGAGATGTATTAACCACCTGACGTCCTGCAGTTGTAGTTTAACGGCCAGACTGTGGCTTCCGAGATGCGGGTTGGCACTTTTTAAACGTCCTTGACCGCCCTCGTTCGTGCGCGTGCTGGGTGGGAAAACTGCTTGAATTGTAAACAGCCAGCGATGGCGAAGCGCCCAATCGCTTGTATTATGCATGTAGGTGTGCGCCCCCCTCCGCTGCTGCTCCGCTATGCCCCGTGCAGGCCCGGGACCGGCACAGCAGGTCTGTGATGGGAGGGAGATCAGCACACGATCTCCCTCTGACCTTCCCCCCGGTGTCTGAACATGGTAGTGATGTATATTACATCACTTCCGCATTCAGCTGTCATTCTCCGGCTACAGAAGCTGGTGACATAAGGGGTCTTAGAGATCCCTGATGTCTCCATAAAGAGGACCTGTCACTGTAAATTGGCTATCACATAGGGGATTTCTAAGCCCCCTATGTGATAGCAATAAAGTTAAATAAATTTTTTTTAAAGTGAAATAAAAAAAAAAAGAGTCTCATATAAAAAAATTGTTTACAAATCCCCCACGCCCCCCACACACAGGCGTGCGCGCGCACCAGGTTTGTTTACCTGCGAAAATGGCAATTGCACCGCACATCTTGCATATCGCCACGAATGTTGGAGTGAGAGCAATAATTCTAGAGCAATTATTCACTGATAACACTAAACTGACGAGCAGTAAAACATCGCCTATAGCCAATTTTGAGTATGGTAGCTTTTTTGCAATTTCACATGCACGCGCAATTTTAAAGCTTGACATGTTTGGTGTCTATTTACCCGACGTGACCCCGTCTTTTATATTTTACCAACAATGTGGGTAATAATAAATGTTTTATAATTTATTTATCAATTTATTATTAATTTATTTATAATTTTCAGCATTTTTTTCTTAGTAAAAAAAATAAACCCCCCAGTGGTGATTAAATACCACCAAAAAAAGCTCTACCTGTCCCCAAAAAATGGTATGAAAGTAATTTCAGTACAGCGTTGCATGATGGAATAAACGTCAATCAAAGTACCGCATTAACCACCGGGACAGGTGGTTAAATGAGAACAATGCCATTTCATACTGTAATCTTGTGTGTAGATGAGACACTGTATCTAACAGACTCATGTGACTTGCCTTTCATGCTTTCAGTGTCTCTATTAACCGCTTTCCGTTGGTTGGGTTTTTTAAAATGTCCTTGTGCCCATGCCCGCTTATGCGTACCACCTTGTGCACACATGAGCGGGAAACTGTCCGAATTTGTAACAGCCAGCGATGGCTGTTTACATACAAGCAGTCCGGTGGCTGTAGACCCGCTGGATCGCTTGCATGTTGTGCCTTCATGAGCCCCCTCCGCCGCCGCTGTCGATCACAGGCTCCCTGTGCCCCGTGCGGGCCCGGGACCTGCACGGCAGCTCTGTGATCAGATGAGTACACAATCTCCCTCTGATCTCTCCTGTCCGATTTCATGCGATCCGTGACCGCGTGCCTGACTGAATTTCCACTCGCCCTCTCTTTATTTCCACTCGCCAAATGCGAGCTGGCGAGTGGAAATTTTGAGCCCTGCTATATACTACATATAGAGTGCACTGAACAATAGATTTACAATTATCCTCTGCTAATATGAATGGGTTAAATGATCCGTAGTACATGATATGTAGCCCTGTACCCCCTTTTCCACTTACAGAGCTAGGTTATTTTTCTTTTAAATAAATATTAATGTAATTTTATTGGTATCTATCTACCAGTAGCTGCCTCATTTCCCACCCTCGGCTTATATTCGGGTCAATACTTTTTCCCAGTTTTTTTTGGGTGAAATTAGGTACCTCGGCTTATATTCGGGACGGCTTATACTCGAGTATATACAGTATATTAAATCACGTCCCATTCAGCTGTCATTCTCCGGCTACAGAAGCTGGAGAGAAGTTGTTGAAGCAGATCTCTGCTTCATCAGCTTCTTTTTGGGGTCCCTAGGTGACATTAGGGGTCTTAGAGACCCTTGATGTTTCCATAAAGAGGACCTGTCACTGGATATTTGATATCACATAGGGTGCTTCTTAGCCCCCCTATGTAATAATAAAGTTAAGTGTGTAGAAAAAAAAAAAAATTAGTTACACATAAAAAAACAAACGTTTAAAGTCCCCCTGCCTCCACATACACACGCAAACATGCATCAGGTGCGCAAAAATTATGATTGCGGTCATTACGCCACACATGTTACATGCGAATATCAGAGTGTGAAGAGAGAGCAAGGGACGTATTTTTTTTTTTTGTGTGTGTTTGTAGATCTCATTGAGCTCTTCATTTGGAAAGTAGATCTTAATGCTAAAAATGATGGGCACCCCTGCACTATATGGTCAAAAGTTAGTGGACACCAGACCATTACACCTATATGAGATGGTTGGAAATCCCATTTGTCGAAAGTGCTGAATTGGGAGGAGTGTCCACATACGTTTGGCCTACGGTATATTTTGAGTGATGATTTCCATTTTAACTTTTTAAGTCATTTTTTTATGACTTGCATTTTGTGAGATGTTTGAGATTTGTAGAATAGCCACTAGAGGGAGCCCTATGACTTTCTGCGTTAACCAAAACCTCCCATGATAAAAAATATGGAGGCTACCATTGCTGAATTCTGCTTTTCGGAATGTCAGTTGCCTCCATTTTCCTTTCCTCAATGAAGTCTTGTTGTCTCAGGACTGTGAAAGTGTTCAGTGCTCAGAAATTACGAACTTAAGAAGTATGTTGCCCAGAGCTTCCCTAAAAGCGTGTAACATCCTTTATCTGTTTTTAAGGAAATTATTACATACTGAGACCGTCTCAACCAGAGTTCTCCTCTTTCCTTCACAGGACGCAAAAGGACTTTAGATGCAAACGTAATGGCAGATTTTTATAGGGATTTCCTAAGCAAGAACTGTGAGAAGCATGACCGCTATAACAGGTAACAGTCGCATCTGCTTTCTGAATGTCATGATTTTCTATGTAGCAGGGCTTTCCGCATTCAGCAGGTTACAGGAGAAAGCAAGGCCAAAGCCTCTGTTTTAATAGTGTATTTCCACCATTTCGGCAAAAACATACTACAATGGGAATTGGGATTTGAATGAAATGCTTATTTTACCATTGGGGAAATATAGAAGAAAGTATATACACTTGTACATGCAATAATGTGCCGAGCTGAAGAAACAATCAAATATAAACAGTGAAATATACACCAATGATTATAGGCTGAACTCAAACCTCATAACATACACAGTGAGATGAAGTCCAAAAAGAATCAAACGATGCGCTGCAGATAACGAATCCAAACAATGCGATGCAACGTGTACAAACAACATGAGCAGTCCTCTGAAGCAGACTTTATAGTGTGCAGGTGGACACCTCCACCAAGTGATAATCCTTCACCTCCACCAAGTGAATGCACAAATTACAAAGGAGTGCTCACCTGGGTCTGTGGACCCACAGAGTAGGTCTCAAGCACGTTTTCCCTTCTTAGGAGGGCGAGGGAGGCCCGTAGTATCAGAGTAAAATAGATCATTTCCGGTCGCAGATGCGCTCATCAGATCGAGAAGAAAGAAAGCAGAAGACACATAGTGCGTAACTATATCCATAAATATAAAATGTATTAGATAAAAACAGGTACTCACACAATGGCAATTGAAAGCCAGCATATAAGATTCCTACGGGGATTCCTTCGATATACTAGAGTAAATGTAATGGAGCTCCCGTCCGTCCAGCTCCACTGAAGTGATGACGCTATATTTATATGACACGTGTATTTATTAACGTCCATGCACATATGCACTTTTGGATTGCATTTAGTTGCAAGTAGGCTTTGATCACTTATATTGGTTTCGTTTGTGGTATAAATATAGCACGTATTGCAATGCCAAGCGCAGCACACTGGTTCACAATTGATGACACCAGATGCTCCGCCCTACATACGTTACGTCCAGCGTGACTTCGGCTGGGAAGCCGGCTCCATGCTGATTAGCTGGGAAGCCGGCTTCCCAACTAATCAGCATGGAGCTGGCCCAACAGCTGGCTCCATGTTGATGGGCTGGGAACCCAGCTTCCCAGCCCATCAGCATGGAGCCAATTTTCTGGGCAATCAGGAAGCTGGGCAGCGAGTAATGAACTGCCTCCAAGCTTCCTGATTGGCTGGGAAATCGGCTCCATGCTGATTGGCTGGAAAGCCGGCTTCCCAGCCAGTCAGCATGGAGCCAGCTGTTAATCCGGCTCCATGCTGATTGGCTGGGAAGCAGGTTTCCCGGCCAATCAGCATCGACCCAGCCTAACACAGAGCCGGTTTCCCAGGAAATCAGGAAGCCGGGCAGCGTGTCATTGCCTGCTTCCTGATTGCCTAGGAAGCCGACTGCATGCCAACGGTAGCACCGGTATTGGCGAGTACCGACAGCAAAATATCGGTACTTGTACTCTATACCGAAAAATGAGTACCGGTGTATCCCTAGAATATATACAGTCAGTAAATTGCACAAAACATACTCATTGCATGTATTGATGCATAAGTAGCTGGTGGCAGCTATTTTTATACTTTCTCTGCGACAATGTATTGGATACTTCTAGAGGAGATTCAGGTATAACTGAACATGCTGTGTACTGGATGCTATTAGCCAAAATCATCCGGAAGTTGGAGCTTTGAGGTAACATATTGAATAAGTCATGGTGACGTGTTATATTATGGAACATACAAACTAATTGTCTTTTTTTTTTCCCTTGCTTGTTTCTTTCAGAGAGTGGTATAAAAGGAATCTAGAAATCACATTTCTTATGGGAAAAGTGCAACTGCAGAGAGCTCTGAGAAAGATCGGCTGGGGATGGACAACACCAGAAAACTGACATTATGTGTTAGCTGGAAAAAAATCATGTAATTTACAAGAATACAGCAGACCCTACTGACGTCATCTCTGCTGGCTTGGACGGTTTATTTTTCCTAACAGTGTCTCAGATTACCTCACATTGACATTCTGCTGAAGTTCTTCGATAGGACGAGTGTTCAGAATCAGAAAACCTCAACCCACAGTAACAGCAAGGATGCCAAGTCCATTCTTTTAATCTGGGAGAGCTGTATAATAAAATGTGTATATTTCTATGTCTTGGAATGTTGTGTGCTGTGTTCTGTGTCCATCCATGGCTGGTAATGTTGGCTGTGTTAAAGCTCATTAGTCATTTCCTTCTTCTGAATCATTTTTAACAGGGATGCTTCATAGGGAAGGTTGGCAGCATCACTTTGTTTATCATGGAAGCACATTGAAAAGAGATGGCTACCTTAAAGAGAAAGTAGATTGTTTTTTACACTGATTTTGCAATTTGAGTAATTTCCATGTTTACCTTAAAAAGACATCTTGTCGCCAGATCATTCATTTTAAGAGCAATCTTCCCATAGGATTATACACTATATTGCCAAACGTAGTGGGACACCCCTCCAAATCATTGGATTCACGTGTTCCGTGGCATTTCCTTGCTACTAAATATTCCACGGTCACCTGTTAGTGGTATTATAAGAAAGTGGAAGCAACTGGGAACAACAGCAACTCCAGCCATGAAGTGGTAGGCAACGTCAAATGACAGAGCGGGGTCAGCGCATGCTGAAGTGCACAGTGCGCAGAAGTCGCCAACTGTCTGCAGAGTCAATAGCTACATACCTCCAACTTCATGTGGCCTTCAGATTGGCACAACAACAGTGCGTAGAGAGCTTCACGGAATGGGTTTTCATGGTCGAGCAGCTGCATTCAAGCCTTACATCATCAAGTGCAATGCAAAGCGTCAGATGCAGTGATGTAAAGCACGCCGCCACTGGACTCTAGAGAAGTGGAGACGTGTTCTCTGGAGTGACCAATCACGCTTCTCTGTCTGGCAATCCGATGGACATGTCTGGGTTTGGCGGTTGCCAGGAGAATGGTACTTGCCTGACTACATTGTGCCAAGTGTAAAGTTTGGTGGAGGGGGCATTATGATGTGGGGTTGTTTTTAAGGGGTTGGGCTTGGCCCCTTAGTTCCAGTGAAGGGAACTCTTAAGGCATCAGCACACCAAGACATTTCGGACAATTTCATGCTCCCAACTTTGTGGGAGGAGTTTGGGGATGGCTCCTTCCTGTTCCAACATGACTGCGCACCAGTGCACAAAGCAAGGTCCATAAAGACATGGATGGGGGAGTTTGGGGTGGAGGAACTTGACTGGCCTGCACAGAGTCCTGACCTCAACCCGATATAACACCTTTGGGATGAATTAGAGTGGAGACTGCGAGCCCGGCCTTCTCCTCCAACAGTACTTGACCTCACAAATGCTAAACCCACACACACTCCTAAACCTTGTGGACGCCTTCCAAGAAGAGTTGAAGCTGTTATAGCTGCAAAGGGTGGGCCAACTCAATATTGAACTCTACGGACTAAGGCTGGGATGCCATTAAAGTACATGTGCGTGTGAAGGGAAGCGTCCGAATACTTTTGGCAATGTAGTGTATGTAAATGCCAAGCCTTATATTCTATGACTTGAAGCCATTTTTAATCACATATGCCATTTTGAGTACGCCACCCTACCCTCCTCTACCTATTTACTAAAACAAAATTTCACAACACCCTTTTGCTTGTCCGAGTCCTCCATCTTGTGACCCTCAGCAGCAACTCTTTCAGAAGTATAGTTAGAAACTGAATCCGAGTTGAGCAAACGGTCTTTTTGCCACTGTTTGTGTCCTGACTCCACTACTACTACACTTCTATCAGCTAATGGAAATAATCCATGTTACCAGGATGCAACATGGCCGCCGGATGCTTTATTCCGCCCATGCTTTATTCCAAAGGAAAAAGAATCCAGGACTGCCATATAGGTCAGGTCTTTTAGGTTGTTTTTTTAAGCTTGTGCTATAAATGGGGGTTATCTCAGAGATTAGTTTTAGCCTAATGTTTTAGGATACTTTTACATTTTTACTTTTTCAATGGCACATAATTTTTGAACAAAAACCTCCAGACCAGACCAGATTGTTTCTGGGCCTAAAATGCATCCCAATGTTTCCCTATGCTATTCTTGGCCTCAGTACACACCACCGCAGTCAGTTCCAGACCAGAAAAATACTGCGTGTCACATTTTGTCTGGTCTGGAACGCACCGGAACGCGTCAAAAATGCAACGCAATGGGGAAAAGAATTTTTTTTTTCTCATTACCCCTGGACTTCCTTCTTCTGTGGAGAGAAATATTTGTGAAGATAGGAACCATGATGGCTGAAGTGGACACTGAATTATTTGTAGAACTTGTGGGAGCCTGCCCAGAGCTGTATGATCCGAGGCATAGGCAATATAAGAACAATAATAGGAAGATGGACAAGTGGAGCGGCATTGCTGCCCAGGTTGTCCCTGGCTATGATCATTTGAGGAGCTCTGAAAAGAACAACTGTGGTAAGTTTATGTCTCTTATGTGCAAGCATTGTGCTGCCCTTTTCCTGGCTATCTGTAGGTCTTGCAGAGGTCCCCCAGCAAGACCTAAAATTGAATGTAGCAAAACGCAATGCAGTGCGTTCCAGATCTGGTCCAGAAAATGGTGTGAACCTGCCCTAACTCTCACTGTGCTCCATCATTTTGCCTCTTGCACAGCATAAAGAATGTATGGCCAAGTTATAAATCTTATCAAAGACACCTCTGCTCTTCCTGTGACAGTGAAAGGCAAAATGAATGGGATTGTTAAAGTTCCACTATGTTGACATGCATTGGGAATTAAAGATGCACTTTAAACAATGGATGGACCAGGAGCAACATTGGGTCTAACAACCTGCACAGGAATTATTTGACGATGGGCTCCATCATGATGATAGTTCAGCTTTAGCTCTGTAACCAAAGCATAATGAATATTTAAAGACCTCGGCCTTTAACATGGCTCACTGAAGAGTCAATTCTGAGTCCTTCTGTTGTTAAATATTAATGGAAAGGTGCTTGGAAAGGAGGGGCTGTTTCATACTATAATGTGGAATTATGAGAGCATTTTTCAGTAGGAGGGCATAAAGGAGTTGACTTTTTTTCTACGCTTGAAAATGTAACATCTAAAATTTGTGGGAAGCAATTTTTAAACCTTTTTACACAGCACCGTTAACAAATTGCACCTAATGAGGCCCGTGACATTCTGCAGTGTTGTACGCATTAAATATTCATAAGATATATCTGAAGTTGTGTTCAATGTCTAGATTTTCCTGTATCTGGAAGAAAAAAAAAAGTCAATGTTGATTTCCTGTCTTTCATCTTGTATTGTAGAGAATGTAACTCCGTGACAGCTAAGGTGACTGAAACAAGCACCGGTGGCTTGCATTGATCTGACAGTGATGCTCTATTATCCTGAACTTTGTCGTATTAACGTTCCCTCCTCCACACATCAGCAAGTACTACAGGGGTTCCATTATTAGAAGATAATTACCTGTGCCAGAAATTGTAAGATATACATTAACGTTCTCAGAAAGTATATCGTATTCAATGGCAAATGATCAGTGGGATGGGAAGTCTAAAATAGAAGCCTCATCTATAGAGTCAGCTGGAGATCAACCACATCAAAGGGCCTGTTTTGTGATACCCCCATCCATTCCTCAAGGAGTGTGTGTACATATGCCACGATGATAGAGATTAGAGAGATTGCTGCAAGTGGGCAGGCATGGGAGCAAAGGCGTCCTTAGGACACTTTTTTTTTAAACAAATAAGGGCTTGCTCTATAATTGCTTTTGGGCATTAGCTGGCATTTGGACATATGGGTATGATTTGACTTCTGTAACTTTTTTTTTAATTAACATTTTGGTTTTGGCTTTGTGCATACAGCCTTCAGCTTGTACAAGAGAGTTTAGAACAGGGCTAGGCAACCTCGGGATTCCAGCTGTTGTGGAAATACATGTCCCATACAGGAATAGCAAGGCTCTGACAACCAAAGGCGCTATATCCAAAGGCAGGGACATGATGGCATTTGTTATATCACCGCAACTGGAGTGCCAAATGTATCTATAGATGGAGCTATGGTTGTCACTAGTCTGCTCTCCTGATTTCTACTACAAACACATCTTCCTCTTCATTACATGGGGAAATGAGTAGCTGGAAGGTAGATAGCATTGTTTGTGCTTTTAGTTTATTTCATAGGAAGTTACAAGGCAACTGCATTTCAAAATTAACAGTACTTTCTGTACTTGCTGAAAAATGCCTTCTATTCTTTTCACTGAATGCAAGACATTATGTGAATGGATAAGAGGAGAGGAGGTTCAGGTAAACAACAGCATCTTCCATTATCCATTCACAGAACACCTTGCATTCTGAATACATGGAATACAAAGCATTTGTGAATGGGCGAGGGGAGAGAAGGGGGCCGGGAAAGAACAGGATCCTTTACTTAATGAGAGCCAGACCTCTCAGTTGCAGTGCTGGAACAGGAGTGCTGTGTGTAGTATGCGGGATGAATGAAAATAAGATTTGTACAGTACACAGCAGTGATCCGGTCATAGCCTGGTCATCATTAGAAGTATTTTATTTCACTTGTTTTTTTGGGTGGGCTCCACCTTAACTTGATAGTCTTCACTACCATTAAAGAAGAACACAGTAAAAATCGAACTTAGCCTGGTAGTGGGGTTACCCCCGCACATCAAGGGTTAAGCATTTGTTTTGTCTAGAGGGCTCAAATAAAGCAGTTTTACTCACCTGATCCTCGGTCTCTTGGCATCCTCACATCTAATGCAGGTCAATGGACGTCACTGGTCCTTAGACCACCAGCACCCAGGGGAGAAGAGGCTGTGGGGACCAGCCTTGCAGCCTGGAAGAAGCCAGCTGGACTGAGGATCAGGTACGTAAAACTGCTTTTTTAGGTCCCCTGGGCAAAACGAGCACTTAACCCTTGCAGTGCAGAAGCCCCACTGCAAGGGTAAGTTTTACATTTTTATAGAAATTTTTCTTTAGGCTCTGTGATGAACATCCCAAAGCAGGGAGCTGCTCAATGCTTGCTGGAAGCTTTCCAAATTACAACCTTGCTGTACACACTGCTCTTATACAAGT